TATCCAGTTATCCCAGAACCATTTGCTGAAGAGGCAGTCTCTTCCACAGTGTATAGGCTTGGTGCCTTTGTCAAAGATCAGATGGCTGTAGGTGTGTGGGTTGATTTCTGGATTCTCTATTCTAGTCCATTGATCACTGTGTCTGTTTTTATGCCAGTACCGTGCTGTTTTGGTTATTATAGCTTTGTATATAGTTTAAAGTCAGGTAGTGTTATGCCTCCAGCTTTTTTTTTTTTTTTTTTTGCTCAGAATTGCTTTGGCTATGCATGGTCTTTTGTTATTCCATATAAATGTCTGGATAGTTTTTTCCATTTCTGAGAAAAATGCCATTGGAATTTTGATGGGGATTGCATTGAATTTGCAAGCTAATCTTTTAAATAAAATAAACGTGAATATAAATTATAGACTTATGTTCTACATTTACACGCTAAGTTTGAATAAGAATTGCTATCTGAAACAAGATTTAAAAACAATAGAACTGTGGCACAAAAATTTGCAGCCCCTCTGCTGCCTCAGCTACTTCTGCCTAGACTTTTTGTGGATTTTATTCTCTTCCTTCCCCTTCAGAAAACCGTGAACTGTCCCCAACTCAAGACTTCAGGTTTAGACTGCTTTAGTCACTGATAGCTCTGGTGTTTGGAAACCTTTTAGGGCCTTGCAAATAAGCCATGCTTCAGGAATTTCTTCATATCTGCTTTTAAAATGTCTGTTTAGTGATTGTTCCCACTATTAAAAACCTGGGAGAGTTTCTTCATCCCTTCAAACATCAAGCCTTTGATAGCTTATACCAGCATATTAATTAACACCCTAATTTATGACCACAATCTGGTCAGCCAGATGAGATGGGGCTGGAAGAACTGTCCTTGCTTACATGGGGTTGTCCTGTAGGCCCTGGTAACACTACCTCTTCCTGTGACTGGTCCCAATCAGAGCCTTCTTGAACGTTCCTACTGGAGTACTCTTCTTCTTGCCATTTTACATTATCATCAGGGCGGATCTTTCTTGGCCTCACATTGTTCCCTTTGGTGGAGGCCAGCTTTTAGTGCCCTCTTTTCTAGAGTACTTAAATTAAAATGAAATGAGTGTTGCTTCTGCCACTACTGCTGTTTGGGAACAATTCTGCTGGCACCTTTACAAGTAACTTTTTCTATATTCAAATTGAACTCTTTTACTCTTTTATACCTTTAAAACATAACTAGAATAAACAAGATAATATTTTTTAAACTGCAAAGATTTCCCCTCAAAAGGTACAGATTTCATATGAGGGTTCATTAATTTTCTTTTATTCAGTAAAGTTCTTCATTGGCTGTTTCCCTATCTTGAGGCATTCTTACAAGCATCTGCAAATTCCCCAGAAGATTTCTAGTGATATTAAAATAAACTTATCTAATATCTTCAATAGTTTAATATTTAATGAGGACCTGTTGCATGCAAAGTATATAGTACCAAGAGCTATGAGGGATTCAACAAAATATAAACCTCACAAAGTAAGGCTCAGTAATAGGCTTTTGCCCAAACTCTTATTAATATGAAATCCTATTTCTTCTGCCTTTGTGATTCTAATTTAATGGCATTCAGTGAAATCAAATTTTTTTTTTCCTTTTTGTCTTTTTTCATGACCGGCAACGGGATCGCAACCCTCGGTG